CCGCGGGTTATATGCGTGGGCGGGTTATTTGCGTGGGCGGGTTATATGGGTGAAAATACGGTAACTCCAGCCTGGTACGAAAGGGAGGGATTTGGTTTGAGGCCTCAGCTGGTGTTTGTGGGTAGCAGATAAAAGGTTGGTGATGACATGTTTGCTCCCCAAACAGAGGATAGAAAGAGCTGCCCTCTCTTTGAAAGCTACAGTGCCAGGGCGAAAGGGAATCCACCAGGCGTGTTCCTGCTAAATTAGGTTTCCATGCCCTGGGAGGCTTTGATAGAGGGAAGCAGTTGATGTGCACTGCTCCCTAACACATTTTATGGAGGGGCACACTCACTTTTGCCCACTTCCTGCCTCTCATCACATTAGCATTTGTGTCCCAGGATAAGACAAGTTCATTGTGGTAACATGGAGCTTCACACGGTGCACTTTTCCCACAGAGAGTGCAATAACATGGAAATCCAGGTGGACATAGAGACCAAGCCCAGCCATTATCAGCTTGTTAGTGGAAGCAGCACCGAGGATTCCCTCCATGTCCCGACCCAAATGGCAGAAAATGAGGAGGAGGAAGAGGAGCAATTATGCAACCACCAAAGCTGTGAGCAGAAGGACTGTGTGGCCAGCAAAACCTGGGATATCACTCTGGCACAGCCTGAGAGCATCCGCAGTGATCTGGAGAGCTCGGACAGCCAATCTGATGATGTGCCCGACATCACCCTGGATGAATGTGATTCCCCCTTTCCCCAGACTGCTGCCTGCCTCCACCCCCCCAGTGCCAGAGGGGCTGGGAGCCCAAGTGCCCGCATTGGCCACTGTGCCCAAGCAGACGGACACCGGCCAGAGGAGAGAACACTGGAGTGCCTTGAGGCCCGAGGGTGAAGCCCCTCCCCCCCCTAAGCTTTTGCTCCTGGTTCCCCAGGTGACTGCCCTGATCCGGACTCTGGGTACATGGCTTTTCTTACCTGAGGATAAAATCTCAGTTTTCTTTTCTTATTTATTGATTTAAGCGCTTGGTGATGCTCAGTGAGTTCTGTAAGAGTGTACATAAATGTGTGCGTGTATATCGTATGTTTGCCAAACACACCTAAAGAATGCCTTTAATAAATATTCCTGTTCCATTCTCATTGGATCCTGTTTGCCCAGTGAATCTGTCTGGATTTTCCCACAGGCCCTTCTCTCCTCCTGAAGCTCATTCCTTGAACCCCCACCCTCACCCCTGCAAGGCCGGGTTGCCCTCTGGCCAGCACTGCTGCTTGGGAGCCTGAGCAGGCAGGCAGACTTCCTGGAAGGCTTGGAGTCAGAGCATGTGCATTTGCTGCCCCCTAGAGGATTTTGCTCCTTGGGGTCAAATGCCTTCTTTGGACAGGGATCCAACAGGACCCTGGGGCTGGGTTGGGGCTAGGTGATCTGGGGCCTCTAGAGCAGGGGTGTCAAACTCGATTTCATGGAGGGCTGCACCAGGGTTGTTTTTTATCTCGGGGGGGGGGGGCATGGTCAGCTCGATGTCACTCGTGTCGGGGGTGCCTGTGGTGGCCAAAGCGCTCTGCCAAAAGGCCCCCCGAGCTCCATTTTCGGCTGTGATGGCTTCCTGCAACCCTCTGCCAGCAAAAATGGAAGCTTGAGAGGGCCACCCACAGCCCCCTGAGCTCTGTTTTTCCTGGCAGAGGCACCACGGGGCTGTCCTTTGCTATTTCCAGGGCGGCCAGGCGGGCCAGGTCTAAGCAACTGTGGGCAGGATCCGGCCCCTGGGCCTTGAGTTTGACACTCCTGTTGTAGAGGGTTTGGAGGAATTAGAGGGCAACAGATTGCCTATTCCTCTTGCCTGGGATTCCCCGTTTTCAGATTTGGAGATTGGAATTGCCTAACAGGTTAACCCTGAAACTGTTGATGTATTTGCCCAAACCAGTAACACCTTAGAGGCCTACAAAGGGAGGCACACAACATTCTAAGACAAAAACTGGATTTCAGTAAGCTGCAAGTGTTTTAACCTCATTTCATCGTAGTCTAGTAAGCTGTATGAATTCAGCTATAAGTAATACAAATATTTAAAATACATGTGCTCCTGACTTTCAGCTGCAGAAAGGAGGAATATTTCAGAAGGTTACATGAAATGCAAGAAGGGAAAAGATTTATGTTGTGGAACTATCATATAATGAGTACGTGCGTTGAGTTTCCACTTCTTTTTAAATACTTTGTGCTCCCTCCAAAAAGGGTAGGAATATGGAGCCAAGGAATAGGCCCTTTGCTTTTTAACTCCCAGGTACTGCTAAATAGCATAAAATAAATGTTTGTTAGAAAGAGCAAAGAGTAAAGAGATGGTGCAACACTTTAGCAAGCTCTGAGGTCCCATTTTCTTCCCCCCTTTCTTTGTCCTGGAATAAGAGGGCATTGTTGCTCGTCCACTTCTTCAGTTAAACCTGTCATTACGAGGAGGACAAGCAAAGATATTGAAGGGAACCAAGAGGTGCAGTTCATTCTTTCAGAAGGATGCACATATTACAAAGTTTGAATGTTGAAAATATCTTGTATATAAAGAAGAATTGTATGCTACCATCTGCCTGCAGGGAGTTTGTGGTGGGTATTTCAAAACTTAATATTTCCATCTCAATACAGCAGAATATTATCATGTTTCCCCAAAAATACGACAGAGTCTTATTTATTTTTTTTGACCCACGAAATATGGCCTTGGGCTTATTAAAGGGGAGGGCTTATTCTTTTTGGGTTGCGGGCGGCTGCTCCCTTGCAACCGGGCTCCCGAAGAGCTGGGCACAGCCTCAGGGTCGAATGGCTGTGTTGCGCTGCCGCAGTAGAAACACAGCAGCCATGAAGTGACCACGCTTGCGAGCAGCTGCCTGGCAACCTCCCATTCCAGCTGGGCACAGGGCCACTGACCAACCTAGCGGTACCTGGAAGGCACCAAGCAACGCGGGCACCTTTGCCCCCACCTCGTTCCTGCGGTTTGGCACTTTCAGGATACCGCTAGGTCAGCGAATGGGTACTCTGCCTGCCCGGAGGGGGGGGGATTGTCCAGGGGGCTTATTTTCAGGGGGGGTTGCTAATATTTTTGCCGACCCGAAAGGCTTTAGTTTCAGGGCAGGTCGTATTTTCGGGGAAACACGGTAGTAGCTTTGGTTTGAACTGGGAGGTCCTTTATACTCTCTGAGCTTGGTGGTTTTCTTGCAGATGTTTTATTTCCCAAATTAAGTGACCATGCTAATGAAGCTTAGAGAGCACCAAGGACCCCTCACTACCATCACATCCCAAGTGGTACCAAGCCATTGGCTCTGAGCCCGAAGGCCCCAAGGCTGTGGACCCCCTGCTCAGAACAGGAATCCAATATCTGGACTTCGGAGAAGGAGTCATTCTCCCTGCCAGGCTGCTCTTCCTGCTAGGGAACTTTTCCTTCAGAATCTCTTTTTTCTAATTCAATTCATTACTCCGTGGTTCTATTCTGCAATGACCAGATCCCTTTTGAGGCCCTCCTTCGCTAGCTTCTCCTGCCACCAAACCATCACTGCTCCATGTTCTTGAACCCCACGGGGAATGTTTGATTGTCCTCGGCTTTTCAGTCCCTTCAAATGGAGCCCTCCAATGTCATCCCATTGCTTAATATCCTGTGCCTTCCTCCTGGCTCTGAAGAAGACAGTGTTAAGGGAGAGGAGCTATGGATTTCCCGGAAGGAACTGGAAAAGGTTTGTCTCCCAAGAGATGCTGGGATAATTAAATTTCTTCTCCCATCTCCCTTTCAGGGGAAAGATCTGCCCATGGCTTTTGGCTCAAAAATAAATCAGTTGTCAATTCTGGACACTACTGGGAAATCCCAGCACTGTAAAATAGGCTAGGAATTTTTTAAAATAAAATTGGAGGAAGAGAACAAACCTCTTGCATGCTGTTGACATAAAAAATTACATGGGGATCACCCTGAAGCTCAAGAGAGATTTTACTTTTAAAAGTACCCAGGAAGTTGTTCTTTTATATTATAAAATATGTTTTATAGATCAAGCAGATAAAATCTATTAAAAAGTATATACAGCACTGTAAAAAAAAGCCTAAACCAGCAGTCACCAGCTGTTGGTCTGTGAGAAAATTTTGGTGGTCCGCAGAAAAATTATTTGCATTTTTATATTGCACTAAATACTATTTATATTTTTATATTTTTCATATTAGTGGTCTGTGGGATTTAAAATTATGAATTTAGTGGTCCCTTAGGTCCGAAAGGTTGGTGACCCCTGACCTAAACAATGGCATACCAAACCATCAGGAACAGCAATAAAGTAGAAGTAACTACAGTATAAAATACCAATAGATGTTCTGAAAATAATCTCAATGGGCTGTTTGCATCCCGTCCCTCCACAGACCGGATGCCACTATTGCTGCCGGGGCATCTGGAAAAGGACTCTGGCAAACAGCTGGGGCCTTTGGGACAAAAGACTGATTTCAACATCTGTCTGGATTTCCCCAGCCTTTGGCTCCTTCTCTTAGACGAAATGGCACCAACCAAGCTTGGCTAACTTCTGAAAGCTGTGGGTGGGGAGTCCTTGAAAGAATCTGGATGGGAGACCACCAGATCAGCCCAAGACCAGGAGCCAGATTCCAGAAAGATGCACCACAGGCGCAAAAGCTGCAGAGGAAACTGGACTTTTTCACGCTTCCTATCTAACTCTCCTATCTAACCCCGGGGCTGCTGCTGCTGCTGCTCCTCCTGCCTTTCTCAGCCTGGCAACTTTGATGCAAATCCCAGGATCCCCCAGAGAGCGAGGCTGGCATCTGCCTAGTGTAGAGTTGCCCCGGCTGAGGCTGGCAGCCTTCCCACGGCCCCCTTGGCCAAAAGCAGCCAGAGGGCTGACTCGGCAAACCGAGGCTCCGCAACGGCGGCTAAGGGGCTATTTGAGGGGCCGCTGCCAGGGCGCCTTCGCGCAAACGTCCATCGAAGCTGCGGCTTCCCCTGCCTGGACCCCAAATCCGCTCCCGGCCCGGCCCGGCCTCCTCTGCTTCCCCGCGGTCGCCTGCTCGCCTGGCCCGGGGCGCGCCCAGCACGGCGGCGGCGGCGACAGGAGGGAGCGGCTGGGCCGGGTGTGGCCGGCAGGTGAGTCACGTCTGCCGCTCGCGGAGGCCGAAGGTGGAGCCGGGCCTTTTGTTCGGGGTCCGCCGGCCAAACAGGAAGGGGCGAAGGGCCGAAGGGCCGGAGGAGCAGGTATCCGAGTGCCGCGGAGCCGGGACAGGTGGCCGGGAGAGGCGCGCCGTTCTCGGGGCTCCTGCAACGGCGACGGCGCGGCCAGGCGGGGGTTGAGCGGCGCCCGTCCCAGTGGGGGTGGCCCGACTTCCGCACGGCACCCAGGGGTCTCCTGGGTGAGGGGAGCCCCGCGGCGCCCGCTCCCTCCGGCCGAGGGGAGGCGGGAGGTGCGCGCCGCCGTTGGGGGGGTGGGGGGCGGATCGGTCTTCCAGAGGTCTTTTCCGCGGGGCCCGCCCGGCCCCGGGGCTCTTCGGGAAAAACGGGCGCTGGGCGTGATTGGCATTCCGGCGGGGGAGGAAAGGGGCTGGAAATTGGACAGACCCCTCTGTCTCTGTCTTTTAGCACATTAGGAGGAGTTTGAATGAGTATTTCCAAAATACATTTAGCTGGTCTTAAATTTGTAATTGGGAGATCATGCAGAGCAGGGGGACAAATGTAAGCGTTGCAATTAATATGAAAGGTTCTTATGCGTTAAACCCCAGGAGAGTGTTGGGAGAAAGTGGTTAGTTAATGGAAATGTTTGCTCTTTCAAAACAAAATTATCTTTATTTACTATTTTGGTTAACACCAAAAACTGCAAACAGCCTTTTCCAAATATGGTTATTTTTGTTGTAGTTATCTTTTTTAACACTTACTGGGAGCAATTCTGCTACAAACAACCTCTCCCTTAAAGGAATTTGCAGACAGGTCTATGCTTGATTTATTTAGTATAATTCTTTTCAATCCAATAATCCCCCCAATCCTGGGGGATTTCAATCTGCCTTCCATTGGCGAGACATCCGAGTGAGCTTGGGAGTTCATGGCTTCCATGACAGCTATGGACCTAACTCAGTTAATTCAAGACCCCATCCATAATGGGGACACACGCTCGACCTGCTTTTTGTCTCTGGGCAAGGGGATGAATGATCTAGATTTAGGGGATAGTTCTATCCAACCCTTGTCATGGTCGGATCATTTCCTCATCAGGCTTGACTTCCCTACTGCTACCTCTCACCGCAGGGAGGCGGAACCGACTAGATGGTTCCGCCCCAGGCGCCTGATGGACCCTGAAAGGTTCCTGATGGAGCTTGGGACTTTTCCTGAATCCCTTGCTCACAACGCGACCAAAGCCCTAGTGGAAGCCTGGGATAGGGCGGCCACCGGGGCTTTGGATCATGTTGTGCCTTTGCAGCCTCTGACCCGGTGTCGATCCCGGGTAGCTCCCTGGTTTACCGAGGAACTCCGGGAAATGAAACGCCAGAAAAGATGTCTAGAGAGTGGTTGGAGGGCCAGCCAGTCCGAATCTGATCGAACACTAGTAAGAATTCAT